ATTCATTTTAATTAAAAAATCCAGTGATCTCAAGCAGGTGGTAATGTTCTTCATTGTGGCCTACTGCTAAAGCTGCTAGATCCATTATAGGACTAGTAACTTAAGGACGGTTACATTTGTTTTTGAAAAAGTAATTCAAGTCGCATTTTATCCTAAACGAAAGCCCGTCCAGGCGTCTTCACTTACCTGCATACGTTTTCAATATCTACCAAGTAATAGAGTCAAGCTAAAATTTAATTAATCAAAAATGGTTGCCCCTTTGTTTTTTTTTTTATTTTTTAACAGCGGATCGTATGAACAACTGAGGCTACTCTCTTGGCCACATATACTTATGTCCGAAACGTCTAAGCGGAATTAATAAATACTCATAATACTGCACCATGTGCTGTTAGTGCGCACCTTCGACCTATACGAACGACGTGGTACCGTCTCATAACGGTCAAGTCTGTAATGATCCTTTCTGGTATTTTATTATTTGGTAATGCGCCCTGCTCCGAAAACGCTGACAGGGGCCAATAAGGCACGAATACCTGCGGCAACCGTGCGAACTGGTCCAAATGCGAAGCTACCATTAACGGCCTGGGAGGAAAACCACTGCGACAGAAATGACGAGGAGAAGTCACATAGGCATAAATTTGGAAAAAAAAAAACAATAAATTCATCATTGGTAAATAGAATGATCATACCGACCAAAATGACGAAACAGCAATAATTTGAATAGAGCTATCATAGTTCTAATTGATCCTTGCTTGAAGCAAGTGTTTGTAAACTACCTATTGACTGATATAATTACTTATAGGCTATATATTTATCGATACTATATTATGTAGGGATAATTGTTATACATCATAATATAGTTTGATGAACATGGATTACTGTCTATGGTACTACAATAGTTTTTTTTAAATTTATTATTATAACTAAGCATATTATATGTGTTCTACGTACATAGTATGTAGATTTTAGGCGAGTGTCTGCTGGAAAAATACACTTGAATTTTTTCTTATCTAATCGTCGTCGCTAACTAACTAAAGTTGCGGTGTATTTTTTTTTTGTTGTATCTATCTATCTATCTATGATATTTTCCGGATTTCGGGCTGTTCGGGTTCGCGTTAACTAAAACCGCTGCATCTGTGAACAAATTTTGATGATTTAAGTATTACAATATATTCGTGAATAGAAAATTCGTGAAACTTTTTAACTACGCTCACCTGACAACTAGGTACTCATAGGTGCAGTATCTAGCAATAGTTCTCAAATGGCATAATGACAGTGAATTTACTTCCTTATCTTGGAGTTCGTGACGTCTTGAAGCTAAGGACCCTAGAGGGAGCACGCCTCTAAACCACTCCGACAGACTTCAAAACCTCACCATGATTGCCGACTGAAACAATCACGATTTGGCGTTCTACTCACAGCTAGCCCGTCGGAATCACGAGTTTCAATTATATCGTTTGAAAATTCGATTAAAAAACAACTTATCTGTTGTTTTTTTCGTATAACTGTACGAGGTAAGGAAAACTGCACAAAAACATGGTCAACCTTTGTCGCTCAGTGACCCCATTAATTCTATAGAAGATTGCAGCACGCTCAAGCGAAAGCTTTCATCGGTGCCATCCTGTCGTATTATGGCCTTTTGACAATGTGGGCGATCTTATTGAAACAGTATAATAATAATAACAACAGACAGAAAGAAAGGCAACACCAACATAAGGACAAATAATGCAGACACGAAAGTGAAGCGAAACAAGACCGAAAATGAAAAAAACGACGCCAATTTTTGCGAAGTTAATTCATGACACCCCGATAATAATGACGCGGCGTAGTCGAGTCATGGTTGTGGTCATGGGCTGAGGGAACCGACTGGAGGAAACGCGACCTGCTCGCGGTTGAGCGCTTCGTTGAGTTCGACGCTGCGCTGGTCCGCCATCATCCTTGTTGTCTCCGTTGCGGATGCCTGTCGAAAAAAGACCAACTGCCCGCTTATTATCTACGGCACGATTCAACTGTAGTGACATGCAGACAAACGTAGCGGCCGAAGTCACCCAGAAGTGTTATAGTCAGGTAGCCACAGCAGTGACCCATCAATGAGCACCCGTTCTAATTCATTTTCTCTCCACTGTTCCCTTTGAACTTTCTCTTATTTTCCGTTTCAAACTTTTCATCTTGCTGACTCTTCGTGTTCTCCGTCTAGCAGTAACGGCGGGCATTTGCCCACGTTTCGGTCGACAGAGCACGCAACCTATCCATCGTTAATGCCACACCAGCAAGAGCCGTCTTAGCGTCCGTGCCACACAGTTACGTACCCAACGTCCCGCTACGGCTCCCTGCAAAGAGCGGGACAGGCTACCTTTTTGACGAGGCAGCTAGCGGCTGCGGACGCTTCTTAGGCGTCTAGCTATTTCTGTGCTTACGAGAAATCACTCAGCGCGACCGAGATATACGGAACGTTGATAATAATAATAATAATAGTAATCTGACAGGAAAAAATAAGTACTGATGAGGTAGAATTGGCGCGTCATTGGCGTGCAACCATAATAGCATAACATGACTGGTTTCGGCTATAGACGTGATTTTACTGACGTTTTGAATTTCCGATAAATGTGGATGGACTTCGTTTGGGATCGGATCGTTAACGCTATTGATACGGATCATAATGACACGGCTGTATATTGATGTAAGGTAGAGCCATAAAATTATTGATCTGCATTGACGAATAATGTATTTACTACGCGTTCGGCGATTGCAGAAAATAGCTTAAAGCGTTATTTGAGTAAGCTACACATCTCGATGGTGATAGCGACTGTCTCCCGATTTCTAGCTTGAAGAGGATACTTGTTTGCCTCTAAAAACGATAACTTTTTACACGGTCTCTGCATACGAACTTTGTGTGGAAATTTAGAAGGCCATAAAAAAAGAGCTAGTTAAACATAATTTTTTTCAAACCGATATCAGCGCAGATATAACGAAATGGTAAATACTAAGGTGTGTGCAGGGTGCGTCCTTTCTCTGGTTAATTTTATCGTGCATATCCTATTTTTAGACTGTTAATTTCACCTTACACACTAGACTCTACGACTGGCGAGTGTGAAACACGAAGATACGTTGTTTCCTCGCTTCATACATAACTTATACAGCTCTCATAGACGTTCAGTTAGCTTTTCTAGGCTTCTATCAGTCGCCTGTTAAGTTAACAGCTATACCCAAGGACACACTCCTATATTTTTCGTCTCAGAGTTCTCCCCAACACATATCGTAATTTGAATCACTGCAAATTTCGCACCGGCAGAGACCCAGAGGCAGCGTTACGACTTCTGTCATTTAGTTTAGCGTTCTGCCAGAGACGCCGAAGTCGAAGCCAGCTTGCCAATATCTATGTCCATCATCTGACGCTAACGACACGATGTCATATCTCAAGTGTGCGGGTACCTTGGAATTCTCTCATCGTGTATTTGACTCTTCTGACAAACAGAAAAGCAGTCCTTTCTGTCACAGCACCAGTAGAAAAATGTTCTCGCCGACCTGCTCACGTCGGTCATGGACAAGGACAAGTGTTTCTGTTGTTTAGAAACCAAAGTACCTATACGGCATACGGGACATTGTGTAGACCGTCCTTCAAGGGAAGCGAGAAACTCCATCAAGGCAAATTATCCGATGCTCAATAAAAAAATTGACTGACTGTCTGCCTATAGGCTTCTGCTAGAAAATCAGGCGAAACGGCCTCTATGATATAGTCAACTCGTACCACATACACTTACATTGGACCGGCTCAACGGCCTACTAAAGAGGACCAAATCTATTTTGGCGCGCTCGAGATTAACTGGACCCACCTTTTGTATCTACCTATCTATCTGTACAACTGCTAGACAATGCTAGACAAGAAGATTTGAAATTCAGAAATAGTAAAAATAGGTATTAGCGTACTCTTTTCTCAACACTCTAACGAGAGTCCAGTCTAATATGGTTTAATGTGAAGTTGATAAAAGTATAAGTTCGCCGCTAGGAATAACGTCCAATTCGCTAATAGGAACGTAATTGGAATCATTTCAGACTTAACTCGGTGTTACTGGAACTTCATTCCAAGACTAAGAAAACCGTGATACATTAAATCATCCCGTACAATAGTGTCATATGATTACGTAAAAATAATCGCGCCATACAGCGTAATAAAAACAACATACAAACGAAATCTGCCATTTTATTATAGTTGTGTTTTTCATGCTGGTAGTCACGACTACGATAAACTGGGCATCTTAAAGTATCGACGGCCACTGCAAAAGTTAACAGCCAAAAAAAGGCTCATTAATGCAAAAGATGACAACTAATAACAGCGGTATTTCGTAGTACTATGAACTACGTACGGCCATCATTCAAGTTGAAGTTGTTCGGTATTTTCACTGAAATCGGTCTAGAAATACGGAATTCGAAATTAACAGCAATAATAAAATTACAGCAGGCTATTTGGTTATTATTACATATATTTAAGTACTATCCAACAATTCACAGTAACGCCTAGAGGCAGCTGTAGATTACGATGCTATGGTAACTTTACCATTTAGCGGCATCTGTTCTAGTAACTTCTCAACTATCGTACATAGTAAAAGTCAAAAAGGCTTCTGTGCTGCATGTACGAAGTAACTGCAGCAAACTTTATATGACAATTTCAAGTTAAGCTCTGCTTTTTTAGGGCCGGTACTTTCGATATATTCGTTCGGCTGATAAAAATATCAATCCGGGAAAAGTAGCATCTCGAATTCTGTCTCACTGTAAAACTTATAGATAAGTTCTAATATATATACACTAGGTAATGGTATACAGATGAGGATTACTGTTTTCAAGTCGTTAATGTGGTATTGATGTATGACATAACACAGCACTGCGTGATGTTTCAAAGTTGATCTCATGCTTTCCTCGTGCTGCTATTCGTGACCGTTGTCTCTATAAAATGAATATACTATTTATGCATAATAAAAATATAGAGTTCTATGGGAACTTCTCAGGTACCGGCGTAAAAAATCTCGCGGAATAGATATTCTCACCCACAAGAGGCATCTATGGCGCGCGGGACAGGACGTTGTAGGTTAGAAACGCCTATCAATTTTCCCGAAAGGACCCGCCGCGTTTCTCGAGGAAAAGTATAGCCAGTTGTAAGTTGCGCTCGAATCTACTACATGATATTTTCGTTATTTATAAAAACAGAACAAGCCTAGGAAGGAGCGCCTTGCACAGAAGTATTGCTATGATTGTTTTTGAAAATTTTCTGCGTTTTCGCATTTTTCATTTATATTTTACGATCAAATCTCTCAAAACCCAAACTTTTTTCTATAGTCGAACAAGTGATAATCATTGATACAATAAATATATAATAACAGGAACTGGACCTTGGCCGAACTCGTTGTCGTTCGTATCGGTTGTAACGAATGAGTGATGAAACGAAGCGCAAAACCCAATTAGCATAATACAAGCTTGTATCTAAAATACAGATACATTAGCAGTATTAATGGTTATTAAATTGAAAGTAGGATATTGTTATGGATTGGAGCACGATCAAATACGTATAGTCTCGCAGTGTTCGCGTATTTCTTTTTAGAGGATGACCATCATTAGTTGCCTCTGGGCATCCCAAACGGGTCAGGTGAACGTTCGTCTTGTTTTAAACTACGTATTGCGGTTGACTAGATGAACCGCACACTTCATATTTCATTGTGGTTTTGATTAGGCTTCCTAAAGCACATCTAGCCATGTGCTTTACTCAGCCCAATCTCAGATCGTATTTGGAACTGTTGCAGAACCTGCAGCTCGGCGGAGGCAACGCGGATATCAGATCAGATCTGACCGCGTGTTGTTTTTTTTGTTCTATTAATCACCTAGTGTGCTTTATCGCTGTGCCCCGGAGAACAATGCTGCGTCTATCCCTTCATGATAGCTTGGAATCGCTTTAACTAAACGTACGAATACGGGTATGCACAGGAAACTAATGCCCGCTACAACCATGTCGCGTTCCGTTGTACAATCCGCGTCTATCCGCTGTCAACAGAACACGATGCTATGCCAGATGTAAGTTTGAAACCCGGTTTCCGCTTATGTTTACGACGCTACGGGGTCAGCGAGCTCAACAACGATCATATCTTGTCTGTTGTTTCGCTAACTGAATAAAGCTGAATAAAGTTCGGTGCTATAGCACGTTGATCTATATATAAAAAGTGTAAGTGTATCAATTATTTTTTGCCTATTATAATGAAATTTCGGGTCCTTTTCATCTAAATTTCATTGAGGATTCTCCGATTTGTTTCCTGGGAAATTTCTCTTAATTCCTTAAAAACCACCTGAAAACCCGTAACAACGTCGATCGTTCATCTCCTTTTCGGTAGAGGTTCGTCCCGCGTGAACACAATGGATAATAGCTGACCTTCAAATTTTTCTCAAATTCAAAAAACGACGCACTATTTTTCGTCATTATGACTTCGCTGTTTTATTCCATAAAAAAAACTGGCCCTATTCCGGTATCAAAGATGGCGAATGAGCACAGGCCCGCTGGACGAACAACCCGCCAAGGCCTGGCCTAATTTAAACGTCCCACGTTGTATATGGTGCATAATAAATAACAAATAAGAGAAGAATACGTGTTCTATGAGATCTTATAAGGCTTAGAAAAAAAAAAGTGTTACCTATAAAAATTTTGTTTTCCTTTCATTTAGATTTTTTGTAAAAACATTTTATCAATTTACCTTATATTAAACTTTCTATGCATAAAATATTTTCAATTTTTTATTATTGAACCTACTCTAAATAGCAGTTTCATATTTACAGACCTTAATTTTTATATTATCCTTGATTGATATTTATATTTATTATTTATTTTATTTCTAATATAGTTCACTATTGTAAAAATTATTTAATCAGTAATAATAAGAAAAATATCTTAATTTTAATCATTAGCTTTATTCTTTTAAGCTTATAATTATGTTATTAGGCTGAGATCTATTAGAATTACTATGTTATTATCTAATTTTCTACTATAATAATGAAACTTCCGATTCTGTCGAAACAAAGACTGTGCTGAAGTTGAGTAAATGGTGAGTAAAGCACTTGTGAAGCAATAACAGCAGATTCTATAACCGGTAATCAATAATTAGGAGCCTTTTGTCGCCAGAGTTGTTTTTATTATTTTTTACGCACATCGTTCTATATCTATATTTTCTCTTTATTTTCAGTCATGCACGAGTACCCGTTCCTGTGATCATCACTAATCAATATCATTGCTAATCTTTCACCTCAATGTACCACCCTACGCTGTGTTTTGTCAAGTATAATCCTCAGGGGCGTGCAAAAATCTCTTAACATAAATATACTATAAACAGACAAAAAAAATAATACACAGATTTCATGCGACTGTACAAGAAATATCTTCCTTGTCATAGTCGTCATAGTTACTGAACAGTATTACGTGTATTTGGAACGGTCGATTCCAATTCTGTTTACGACATCCACACACTGATATATCTCATGAACGTCACGCATCAGCACTCGTTCATCATCATCAAAACTAGAAAATAAGATAGAACTCGAACTGCTGAAAGCAAGCTAACTATTATGCATTCTGCATATCACCGCCCCTTTAAATAACAAAAGAAAAGGACGATAAAGATGTCCTTAGGAAATCCTTCACGAACGGGTGTGGCATTCGCTGCCACTTCTGCTCCCACAGTTACGTGAGTTGACGTTGTTCAACCAATGTCACATATCTCTGTCAAGTGAAGTAGACGACACTGCTGTGTTAGCCGTTGTTACTGTTACTGATGCAGGCTCTGCCGGTCAGGCCAATCCGATCGTATAGATATCTGCGTGAGGAATGACATAACCATGTTGAACCGAGAGAGAAAGGGTGAGAGAGAGATTCTTCTCTAGGCGAGATAGGGTGGTATAGAATGAAAGAAGGCAAGCACGCACGCACGCTCAGTTAGCAAACCTATTCAGTCGTCAACGATCGATGCACAATAGTTAGCAGACACCGGACCCGCTAACGGACACACGACAGAGAACTGCCTTAGCAGTGAAGAAGAGGTCCGTTGACGCCAAATTGAGTCATCTGAAGTTGACTGAACGCCGATTCGTTCTCACTCATCCGTGGCCGCCGCGTGGGGATAGTTATCTATCGGAAGCACTAGACACCAGATTCAAATAGTCGTCGTAACAAACACGGGTCGTCGTCATATTTGTTAACTATACATAAATCTTCGACTAGCAGTTGATTGTTAGTGCTTCCTCTGCTTTCGTTTGATTTACTAGTTTTCGTTCGATCTGACTAGAACGTAAGAGATATAGGAGGGCGTGGGGGGTTTAAAGCGACGTCGAGGGGTCGAAGGGAGAGAGCGACAGACAGCATCAGCGTAGCCGACCAACATTTTTGTGATGATCCATCTACAGCAAGATCTAACTACTCGTTTATTCTTTATCCGTCAAGAGAGCAATGGCTGCAGCAGAGTTGGGGATAGTCAACGGACAGTCACACAGTCAATGAGCAGCCTGTTGATGTAAAGTTTCTGTGGCTAGACATGTCGCAATAATATCACTCTATAGCGAACCGACCCTGAAATCAATACAGCGGAACACCGAGACACCCGTATTGCTTACGAAGTCCACCCGTGCTGGTGTTGTTGATGCCAATGTAAATTGTGACCGCACATTTACACAGCCGAAGCACGAATTTTGCCGGCATCCGCCTGAAGCTAAAAGCAACGATCGATTCGATCGGCAGTTCCGTGGATGGATGACCCTCTGCTTCTAGCAGTCATAGCGCCACAGCAACAGTAGGAATACACAGAAAAGTTGAAATAACCGAGAAAGAGATGGTGGCTTGGTATAGTTCTCGCTCGCCAATTTTGGCCTCTGATATGTCGTTGTGCCTTCTGGTGCCATCACCGATTCTGATCCTGGAACAGGTCCAGCGTCGGAGGACCCGGGGCAAAATCTAATAATGAGCAACACAACGAGAAATGGATAGGGAAAATCAAAGGAGAAAATTACTCGAGGTGAAACAGCACAGGTCGTCGCTCAAAGCGGCCACAGAAGCATCTCAATTACCTATTTATGAATGTTCTCTGTTCTGTCGCTTTTTAGTATCCCGCCTTTGCCTTTTTGCCCCCACTTTTTTGCCACAAAAAACGAAAAAGTAAGAGGTTTCCAGAGGTAGTAGATGTTACTCTGGACACATATTCATATTCAGCAATTGTATGAAATTGACTAAGTAAACGATCTTATTGGGTGAAAAGCGGTGCAGGGCTGCGTCGCATGCAGACGAGTTTTTGGCATTTTCTAACAACGGAAAAAGACCAAGAGTTTCACATATTTACTAGAAGATACCTTCGTCATGAGTGATGACTTCTCGTCTCACAGAAGCAGAGACGATAATGATCAAAAGCAAAAAGAATCGAAATAAAAACGAAGCTCGAGGTCGATGATAAAACGCCGACTGTATGACAAGTCGTGGACAATCTGTCAAACTGGTATATACATGTATGTAAATAGGTGAGAGTTATCTTTTTAGCTTTGACCTGTGTGATTACTGGTTACTGTCGTATCATGAACACCCGTGAAACCCTCGTAAGGAGAAGACAGCACGCGCCGCTTGCGGGTATAGTCTCGGTAATAGTCGATGTGAGGCACAAATAGGGTAGGTGTGGACACATCGGACAAGCCTGCGCTCAGTGGTTGCCATAGATAGACATAGGACTGGTTAGACTATGTTACTTAAAGAGGCAAAATTGATGAAATCATCAATATAGTCAACCAACAGGCGTTGTCATCGCATTGTTGGCCATGGGATTTCCGCACGCGGAAACGTGTTCAGTAAGTACACCAGAAAAGTTTCGACGTATGATATGGTGTCGATTATGGTATAAGCTGTGTTTCGATTCTGTCCGAAGAAATATTAAAGTTAGCTTTTGCTTTCCCCATACAGAAAAAGCAAATTCTGATCTTGTTAAGCTCTTCCGATATAAAAGTAGTCAGCGATTACGGCTATAGTCACAGTGATAAAATGGTCCATAAACGGTGGTTTCGCTTTCTAGAATTTTCATAGGAGTAGTGTTTTTTTCTTATGAGAGAAATAGAAGAAAATTCTTATGCTACATTGTCAAAGTTATTGAAACGACAGCAATTATAAATGAATCATTTACTGAATGTATATAGGGCATAACTAAAAGGCATTCGTGCGGCTCGCATTCAAAGCAAAATGACAATGTCTTGGACGTAAAAGTAAAAGCCCCTGCCTGTGTACTGCTTTTATAACTTACTACACCCCATGTACAATGCTTGCGATAATCTAATTGTTCGATGAATGACAGAGTTTCATTCCGCGTTTTATAATTGATCAGGTAGTCTTTTAGCCACCGATTGGCCTAGCGGTAATTTTACACAGACTGATCATTGCCCGGTAACCGCTACCGGTAAAAGATATAAGACCTATTTCTTTCTCAAAATTCAATCAAGGATCGTTCACATTTCACTATTGAAAAATATAGCTGTGCAGAAATTGCTGATAATAAGTAAAGTTTGTCTTGTTTGGTTTTATTTTATTTACGCCTATCCGGATAGAACAATACCTCGGCTTAAATCGTGGGTCAAAACACACCGGATACTGCTATCCGATGATGTAGTATTCATATCTATCCACTTATTATCGCGTGAGGATATAGAGAATTCTTCAGAAGGTTGTCGTGGTTCTGTGGAGAGAAAAACAGGTACGACCGGTTTTTTAGGTACTTCTCACTGCGGGAATAAGTATAAAGACAGAGGATTACTTAAAGATACACTTAATATATTGAACCGGTTGCTCCATACTCTTTAAAACCTGTAGGAGTTTCCAGCTGAAACATCTAAAGCCTGAGGTCAGTGGAACTTGTGTAAACGACTCAAACCACTGACCTTATGGAAACACATTTAGAAAAGGTATGTAATCGTGGGTGTAACATGTTAAACTACGAAAGCCCCTCCATACGTGTGGAGACGTAAAGCAATCGAATAGAATGCTCTGCATATCTGATAGCGGGAGACATTATTAAGAACTGCATGATTTTACCAAGTTAATATGTTAGTAGGACATAAGTGCTTTAAGTTGGCCTACCCAGCAGGGATTCCCTTAATGGAATCACTGCTTATCTAGATGCTAGATAGCAAACTGCTAAGAGAACTTGCCATAGATTGCTATTCTACTACATTATACCAGTATTTTTTAGTTTTATTTGTGCTGACAAAGTGCTAAAACTGAGTTGCTCAGTTGAACTCTGTTTAACTTGTTTTGTGAAGGACGACACTGCGGTGTTTTTAAGTGAGGAACGCAGCTCTGTAAAAGGCTTCTCTATAGTCGCCTGCGTCTTATGCAAAGATGTACGTTCGGTTCTAAAAACAGTGCAAAAACTTATCAAACATATATACTTAGGATTGAAAATAAAACATGGACTGTTCGCCTGCCCGAGGAAAAAAGGACGTCACCGCACGGAGCTAATGAGATCAGCGCTAAGAGCGTTCTCCGAGAAAGCTTTAGACGAAATTCCCGTTTATGGCAAAGAGTTTTACTGGCAGCAATGAAAAGTCTC